GGGCTCCAGGCCTCAAATACCATCCCAGGCTGAGGGCTTGGCCAGCATGAAGTGATTAGTCAAAAAATAGGCCTTAGGGCCAGCCCGTGGCTCACGTGGGAGAGTGTGGTGCTGATAAGGCTGTGGGTTTGGATCCCTATATAGAGAGGCCGGTTAGCTCACTTTGGAGAGTGTGGTGCCGACGACACCAAGTCAAGGGTTAAGATCCCCTTACCGGTCATCTTTAAAAAAAAAAAAAAAAAAAGTCCTCAAGTGTACCTTCTGCTCCTGGAGGGCACCCGTGTCTGTGAGTACTGAGCTGGCCTGGGCCTAGAGCATTGCTGGACTCTATGGGCCCTGTGAGTTGGGGTTGCTGAGCTCCTCTGAACGTAGCTTGTACCCAGTACCCCCACCTCATCCCTGAGGACTGACCAGGCCTCTCTCACCTCCCCAGGGCTGCATTGTGATCCGATACACGGCTCCATGGCACATGGTCTTCTTCGCCGAGTCCCTGGGCATCCCTTCACTTCGTGTTTTGGCCCAGAAGCTGCTTGAGCTACTCTTTCATCATGAGATTGAGAAGGAGCCCCTGCTCTTCCATGTCTTCAGCAACGCTGGCATCATGCTGTACCGCTACATGCTGGAGCTCTTGCAAACCCATCAGCGCTTCTGCCACCTGCGTGTGGTAGGCACCATCTTTGACAGTGGTCCTGGTGATAGCAACCTGGTAGGGGCTCTGCGGGCTCTGTCAGCTGTCCTGGAGCATCGGCCTGCCATGCTGCGCCTGTTGCTCCTGGCAGCGTTCGCCCTGGTGGCAGTCCTGTTCCACGTCCTGCTTGCTCCACTCACTGCCCTCTTCCACACCCACTTCTATGAAAGTCTACAGGACGCAGACTCTCGCTGGCCTGAGCTCTACCTCTACTCGAGGGCTGATAAGGTGGTCCTGGCCAGCGATGTGGAACGCATGGTGGAGGCACGCCTGGCACACCAGGTCCCAGTGCACTCTGTGGACTTTGTGTCATCTGCACATGTCAGTCACCTCCGCGACTACCCGACTTACTACACAAGCCTCTGTGTCAACTTTGTGCACAGCTGTGTCCACTGCTGAGGTCCTTGCTCCACCTCACCTCCAGAAATAAATGCCTGGCACTTCTACACAACCACATCTGTGGGGCCCTCTTCTGGGTCAACTCCCTATGGCCCTTTGGAACTTTTGTGGTCCCCTAAGTAGAAAATCCCATGGGCCTCTGTCCTAGGGGACTGCTGGTGATCTGCTTACCCCAGGATCCTAGAGGGCGGGAGTGCCTGGACTTATCTCTTTGGGAGCCTTGCAGTTGGTTGTGTTTGAACAAGTGCAACAATTAGGCTGCTGATTCCTGTGGCATTTAGGCTGCTGATTCCTGTGGCATTTAGGCTGTGAAGGGTTAATAAAGGGGGGGAGCTGGGGATGAGCCCCAGAGTTGATTTTTTAAAAAAAATTGTGGTAAGAACCTTAACATGAGTACTCTCTTAACAAAATTTTAAGTGTACAATACACTTATAGTTAACACCTTTTGTTAACTATAGGCACAATGTTGTACAGCAGATATCTAGAACATAATCATCTTGCATCTTGCATAAACTAGAACCTAATCATCTTTCATAACTGAAACTTTATACCTGTCGCCAGAGTTGAGTTTTGATTCCTTGAATGGAAGGTGAGATTTGTGAGGAGGTGCCAGACGGTAGGCTTAGGCTGGGGTAGGAGCTGTGATATCTGCTCTAGAAGGGCAAAGCTCCACAGCGTGATCCCCTTGGGTCCCACTTGGGAGTTCACACAGAGAGGCTTTTCTGACCTCATTGCCCGGGAGTCTGAGGTAGAAGCCGGATGAGCTGAGGATGCAGGGGTTAGGGGCCTGCCCAACTCCACCACTTTGCTGGGAGGAATCCGGATCCAGGAAAGTTACAAGCTGTGTATGCAACGGACACATGGAGTGTGAGGCAGGAAGGCAGCAGCGCTATAACAGGAGCTGGGAGCCCTAAAGACCGAAACTGGGGTAAGGAGTTTTTTGGCTGAAACAACAAACTCCTTCAATTCCTTGAAGGGAGACCCACTCAGATACTCTTTAGGGAGGAGAGGTGGCTTCAGACTTGTAGTTAGGACCATCAATCACTGTACAAGCCACTGCTGCACAATGTTGGCACATAGTAGGTATTCAATAAATATTTGTTGATTGAGCTTACTGTGGTGATCAAAGGGCTTGGGGGACAGGGATGGGCTTTGAAAGTTTGACAGGCAGTGAAGGAGATGGCTGGAAAAGCTCTGGGTGGGAGCTGGCCCCTGATATTCTCAGGGATGATGGACCCTCTGTCTCCAGAGCAGAGTTCTGTCTGCACTCCATCAGCCCTCTGGGAGTCCCCACTACCGTTGCAGCAGTTCTTGTGCTGTGGCTGCATTCTTAGCCAAGGCCAACAGGTGGCAGTGCTGCCTCTGCCATGAGACAGCTCAAGCACCCACAGCAGGGCGGGCTTCACACCGTTGCAGCAGTTCTTGTGCTGTGGCTGCATTCTTAGCCAAGGCCAACAGGTGGCAGTGCCGCCTCTGCCATGAGACAGCTCAAGCACCCACAGCAGGGCGGGCTTCAGTGAAATGCCCTTACTCTGGGTTAATGTCCTCTATTAGAGAGCATAGGGCCCTCAGGGTGGGGGTAACCAGCTATCAAGGAGCTACTGAGTCCCAGTCAGGGAGAGGGGAGAATAGATACATAAGAGGGGTCAGCCTGATGGGAGCTGGACATTTAAGAGCCGCTTCTTCCTCAACTCCACTGCCCTCACCTCCTTGGCACTCTTCCAAACCCTCTTTCCTAAACCCTCAGGTGTCCCTGGGGCTGCTCCACCTCACCTCAACAGAGGCCATATGCATTCCCCATGATCTCAGGCACCAGGATCCCTGGGTTCAGGATATTTGGTGCAATCAAGCTGGGTACGGGGCTGCGAAGGGCCTTCACTGGGCTCCAACCACAGGTGACTTGTCCTCTGTGCCTCATTTGGGTGCCAGGGAAGGCAGGAACTGCCAACTGGACCCAGTTCTGTAGTAGTCCCCGCAGGCCATCCCAGAGGAAATGGGTGTCTTGGGTTAGGGATGCAGGAAATGGAAGGTGGGCCTGGCATGTGAGGCAGTGTAAAGGAAAGGAGTCTGGAGTCATGGAGATACTCTGGGGCCTTGAATTTTAGCATAATCTACTTTTCTCAAAACAGCTTTCTGTTATGGGCAAGGACTGTCTGCAGCTTTGAGCACCTGCCTGAGGGGCACGCAGGATGCAGGTCTACCTCTGCAGTGGGGAGCTGAGGGGATAACCAACAAAGTGCTGTCTCTCCAGTGCTAGCGGCCCAGCCCTGACTTACGGGTCCATCTTGGATAATAAGGGTTTCTACTGTTTCCATTTGAGGATCTAGGTCGTAACTATACCAGGCCATTGGTCACGAGGATGGAGAATAGAACAAATGCCGGGAGACTGAGATGGTGACCCCACTGTGGTCCCTGGCATGTTCCAGGGGACTAGAAAGGGATAGACCTGGAGCTTTATGTTTTCACCCAAGCTTGTAGCTTCTTCTGCCCTAGGTTGGGGGATAGAGCTTACATCCCCTCTGTACCCCCAAGCTCTGACCTCTTCTGTGATTAATGAGCTGACAATTTTGCATCAATAAGGAATTAACCTAGAGCCCCTATCCATCAATAGTCAGGAGCCCAGATCCCCACCCCCACCCCCACCCCAGAGAGAATGCTCCAGGGCCTCTGAGCATACCAACCCTGTTGGCTGTACACACCTATAGCTAAGTCCTTCCCCCGTACTGCTGCCAGGAATTAACCCCTTACCTGCCTCAGCCTACTTCCCTTCACCCCACCCCTTGTATCAGCATTCCCTCCCCACACACATACACAGACAGCAGCTGTTTATATTGGTTTAATCCATGTCAAATGTAGTTTACAAACGGAAAGGACAAGTACCTTTGTATAGAATATACAGACACAGCATCACACCATGGGGCCCACGAAAGGGGCGGGGGAGACACTTCTTCCCTGGGAACAGCAGCTCTGATCCCAGGAATGGTTCTCAGCAGAAGGCTGAGTAGCCAGGAGCACCCTCCTCCAGCCTGTCACTGCCTCTGCTTCAGCTCGGTTCCCATTTCCTGTCCCCCCTCCCCCGACTCTTTATAAAGAGCCCCATGAGCTAAGACTAAGGAGAGGACCATGTCCCTCGGGGCATGTGCCCCATGTCTGGGAGAAGAAATATACACCACTGAACACCGAGCACATGGGAGAGGGAAGGGACGCCATGGGAGAGGAAAGAGGCAGGCACCCCCAGAGGCGGACGGGCCGAGCCCCCAGCCAGCCCTGAAGGAGGCATTGCTTCCAGGGGTTCTTAAAAAAAAGAAAATCATACAACCAAAGGGGGAGTGGATGGGGCGGAGGGCAAGGAGTTGTTCCATTTATACACAACATTGTAAACATACATGGTCTATATTACATGTGCTTCAGTCTGGTGTTTGCATGTCTGTCTGTCTGTCTGTCTGTC